CTTGTAGTCTTCCGAAAGACATTCAAGGATTTTGTGGATCTGGTCTTCATGATCAACAAATTTTTCAAGGATGTTTAGTTGATCCAATCGAGTTATGATTCCTTAGAGGTAGACATTGATAGTCTTGTTCTCTTTCTTCCAGTTTTTGAGCTGTGTCTAGAGATGTTTGATGTGGCCACGGCTTGGTTTGGCGTAGGTGAGAGAAAGCGTGTTCCAAGCTTCATAAACCATTGTGGCTCTAGACACAAGAGGCTAGAGAGAGGATTAGATGGCACCACTAAGAGTGTTGTATATAAGCTTATGTTGGCGCTTCCAGATGGTGCATACCGGATTGACATAGATCTGATAATTTGTAGTAATCTTTATTGTAGGTGGCAATATGGAGCCGTCAATGTGTTCTGCATGATCGCAGCCATCCAGTAATGCCTGGATCTGCAGACTCCACATGAGATAGTTACCAGCAATGAGTTTTGAGATGTGTGACATGTTTACGGTGAGCAAGGTTTGAGCGTTCACAGTGATGTTGTATGTGACAACAACCAGAGAACCATTTTCAGTAGCACTCATGGTGATGGAGTGTGGAAAGAAGAAAATAAAATTTTTACTTTGATCGTAGAGCTCTTGATACGATGTAAAGGTATAATCATTCTTATATTATTTATGAAAGGATGTACAAAGTTTATATACGGAGTAGTACGCTAGGGCATCATATGTACATTAAACGAGAATAGACTTTGTATCCATAATCTAAGATATCATGGAATCAATCACATGCGTGATTGATTCTTAACACTTCGAAGGATTTATGCTCATTCTTTGATATTTGATAGTAGTTTCTAGTTTCTTTGTACAAATGTTAACGAGGAGAGATGTATTAAGATGAAAACCTAATTCTTATGTGGTTTCCACAAACTTGTGACTCTGTACTTTTTGAAAGTTTTAATCGGAATAAGTGAAGGTTATTCTTTTTAGCTTTTCCTCCCTGCTCCCATAAATATTCTTAGCGATTTTTTATAAGTTTTTGACCGGAAAAAGAGTTTATTTTATGGATGCATGAATTGAACTGTTTTTTTTTTTTTTTTTTTTGTGCACATCATGAATTGAACTGTTTAAAAAGTATTTTCCAGAAAATCAACAAGAAATGCATGTGACCCACTTTTATATAATTTGCTTGGCCGTAAACCACAACATCATGTTAGTATCAGTGATTTGAGACTAATATATCGTTCTGCTGATGACACGAATGATCCACTTCCTCTTCCTCTTCCTCTTCCTCTTTCTCTTCCTCTAACATATACTCCAGAATGTACAAAAAAGTGATAAAAGCTTGATATGAAATAGTGTGAATATTGACCTTCTAATAAGATTCAAATTCTCTTTCAAAATTCTTTAAGCGTGGAATCTTCAACGGTATGCAAACTAGACAATAAAAGCTTGCAGGACTTTGCTTGTCTCTCTATTTTCTGTGATTAATCCTTTTTAAGTTCTTTGTCATGTATTGTGAGTATGATTAATTGATTATAGATACAAGAATGCAAGATACTCATATGACAAAATAATAAAATAAAAGAAGAATACAAATGTTACTGTTTTTGAAAGTAATGGCAAACTTGAGATGTTGTCGCTTTTTATTATCTAAGCTTATAGGGCTTAAAAAAAGATCATGGAAAGTTGGAAACACAAGAAATTTGTAAAATGAAAACTCCAACAGTTAACACATATATGTTTATCTTATATTGTAATCACTATCTAATCACATTTTGCAAAGCACTATGATCTTGTTAGTCACTTTTCTTTCTTTGAGTGAGTATGATGAATAGTTGGGTATCTGGATGATTTGGGTTCCGATTGGTAATGACTTTCGTTTTAGGCTTTGACTTTAGAATTGTGGTTGTAGAGATTTTGGCTTTAAATGCTGTAACTGTTACTTTGGAGAAAGTTAAAAGCATGATTGGTACTTAAAGCTTTAGAAGCTGTGACTGTTATAAATATATGTTTATAATTCATTTTTGAAAATGTATTACCTATTTTTTATTTATACAAGTTTATAAAATATATTGGGTAGCTTAAAAACATAAAATCAATCAAATTTATCAACAATATATTTTATTTCTTTATTGTAAAAATTTGAAATTGTAATCAACAAAATTATTTAATTAAACTTAAAATAAGATAATAATTTATTAAATAACAAAAATTATTCAAAATTAAATTTAAAATAAAATTACAATTTATTAAATAAAACAAAAAAAATATGAAAAAATTAACGGGTTCTAGCCCATATGCTGTTTGCAATCTCATCTCGAACACCTTCCATGTATTGTCTTGAACTGAGATCTTGGTCCATCGTATTTGGAAATTCTTCTTCATTTGTCGTTTGTTCGTTTTCATTTTCTTCTGATTGGAAGTCAGGATCCACAAGATTTGACTTGCGAATGAAATTATGGAGAACCATGGTTGCCACCACAATTTGTCGCATTGTAGATATGCTATACCTTGCTTCATCTTTCACAATACGCCACTTTTTTTTCCATACTCCAAAAGTTCTTTCAATCACTGATCGAAGTGATGAATGGCGACGATTAAAGACTTCTCTGTAGTTTCTTTCTTCTATTTGATTATGGAACCGATTTAGGTGATACCGCTCTCCCCTATATGGACAAAGAAATCCACGACGTAATGCATATCCTGAATTACCTAAATAATATTTACCATCAGGTGGATGAGGAAAATTGGTATCAGCTTCGGTAGCAAGGGAAAGATGACGACATTTCTGTAAAGAGAAAAGATTTAAACTAATTAAATATAAGAATGAAAAAATTATATATATATATATATATATATATTGATAAGAAAAATAAATAGAATTAGTACCTGTTGGTTTTGTGTGTTTGATGAAAATGATTTCTCTTCTTGTATTTATACTAAAGTAAATCTTCTTAAAATAGCATTTGATTTTTTTTGGATCCTTCGTAAATGTTTTCAATTATTTATACAATATTTTTAGTCCTAACAGATTAATAATCTATTAATAGTAAATTATGACTTTTTCTTAATGGTAAAACCTAATCTAACTAATGAAAATGAATTTAGAAATCATTATATTTATTTTTTCTTTCACTTATTATACTTTTTGAATCTTTCGTAAATGTTTTCAATTATTTATACAATATTTTTAGTTTTTAACAGATTAATAATCTATTAATAGTAAAGTATTACTTTTTTCTCAATGGTAAAACCTAATCTAACTAATGAAAATGAATTTAGAAATCAGTGTATTTATTTTTTCTTTCACTTATTATACTTTTTGAGTGTTTCATAAATGTTTTCAATTATTTATACAATATTTTTAGTTTTTAACAGATTAATAATCTATTAATAGTAAAGTATGACTTATTATTTCTTTTATTTTAGTAAGAAATGAACAAAAAGTCAAAAATAAAAATAAATCACGTTTTTTTATCATAGCCAAAAAAAAAGTATGTCGTAAAGTCTCAAAAAATGGCTATAGAAAAAAATGAACAAAAAAAACAGTTTTTTTAAAGTGAGCTTTAATAGCTTTACAAATCTCTAAAGCTTAAAATAAGTGATTGACAAATATTTGCCTTTAGTGACTTTACACAACCACAAAGCCCTCAAAACCCATACACCAATCAGATTCTTGGTTTGCTGTTTTGGGATAATAATATTTTATTTCGGTTTTAATTTGGTTTTGTACAACTATTCGATACGGTTTTGGTTACTAAATTGATATCGTGCTTTTTTTTAATTAAGGGGGGAGAGGTTATTGGAATCGGAATTTGGAAGGAGTCTAGTGATTTAAAAAATTTACAGATATTTAGAAATTAAGTAGATTAACAAATATTTTCTAAATTTCTAGCAAATGTTTTGTATTGATTATATAGATTCTTATTTATTACTATGGATTTGTAATATATATATTTTTTTCATCAAGTTTCTCCTTAAGATAATGTATAACAATACTGACGTAAACCATATATATTGTATAAACACCTTGTAATTGACAGTACGATACACAATTTTTCTCTTCATATATATACCCCACAGTTATTATGGTGGGACACATTATTTTTATCAGTATTATATATAGTTCTTTGTGTATTGTATGTTGTGTTCATTTTCTGGGAAATTCGATACCAGTAACATAACACAACGTTGATGGTGTGTTTTAAGTGTTATGGTATTGTGCGGCAGCTTTTATTAAATTTTAGTTTTGCTATAATAATAATCAATTCTCTCTTCAGTTTTGTATGTGTATGTTTTTATCACATAGAAGTCAAGAATCTTATGTGTAAACATGATATTTTCAAAGTTTAGTCTTAAGAATAAAAATATAAAGAATTTACTTTCTAATAACAATATCATTTAATAGAATTGCAAAATCAATAATAACTAAACTTTTTGAATAAAAAAATTAGAATGGTATTTAAAAGTCATCAGACCAGTAACAATGAAATTTTGTAAGATTTTATAAATCCATAAATCAATAACAGTGGATTTTTAAAATTTTCTAATTCCTTTAGAATTCTTAGATCAATATTATTTCATCTCGTTTACCATTCCATAAATTCATTTCTTGGTTCTAATAAATTTTATCACTTGTATCGTTTCTTTCAATTGAATAGTATAAATAATGGTTCGAGAATTAGGTTTTGTATGGGATGCGGATAACTGCAAGTATAATCATGATACACGTTTAATCAAGGATGTTTGATATCGAGCTTGCTTTGAAACAGGAGAATCCATAGAATGTGATTGTGCGGAAGCACATGCATATCTTCCCTCCTAGAACTCGCTTTGACGTTGTTCAACTAGCATTGCTCTTGGGTCAAGATTTATCTTCCATAATACTCCACAGAGAAACATAAGATGTGGTTATACTTGGGTTTAGTGTGAGTGGATACTTACGCTGGTGTCAAAGAGTTCGGCTTGAAAGATCGGGTGATATAGCAGATTCAAAAACTATTGATTTTGTGTTAATGGTTGATGAGAATTTCCCCAAGTTTATCCTGCTAGCTTTAACTGATGCTGATTTCTGTGACACAACTAAGTGTTTAGCTAAGCAAGGGTCAACTATATTTCTAGCCAAAAACGAGAATGATGATGGAATCATTTTTTATGCCCCTCGATATGTAGGAGTATCGATTACTTATAACTGGCGTTGTATGCTATCGGAGTATGGAAGATTATACCAAGCAGCAGATTGGACATGGAAGGTACATTGGTATGTATAAGTGGTGCCTTAAAAATAGGAAGAGACATTGAAATACTTCAAGAGATTGATGTTCATTCTTTGTTATTTGATAGTAACTGCTAGTTTCTTTGTGCATTCATTGTACATATGTTAATAAGGGGAGATGTGTTAAGATGAAAACTTGATTCTTATGTGGTTTCACAAACTTGAATCTGTTAACTTTTTGAAAGGTTTTATCGGAATAATTGAAAGTTGTTCTTTTTGGCTTTTCCTCCCCGCTCCCATAAGTATTCTTGGTACATAGCTGACCAACTAACTAGCTCATTCTAACCTGAGTCCAAATCAAAGTGATAACTGTCCAGCCTGGCCCATCTCAAATTTTTCTAACTTGAATTCATCTCAAAGTGATAACTACCCCGTCCGGCCCATCTCAGAATTCTAATTAGATAAATCCTATGTAACTCTAATAAACAGTTTATAGTCTTTGATGCTCATAGTCTCTAGCTTTTGTAGCCAAATAGGCTTTGTTCATGGATGTCCTTCTCCTTGTTTCAAGGTCTCCTCACAGCCCACTTTTGTTTTCTAGATTTTGTAGATCTAGATCTAGTTTGTTTCATCTCGTTTACCACTTCATAAAATAATTTGTTGGTTCTAATAAATTTCATTACCTGGATCATTTCTTTCAGTTGAATAGTATAAATAATGCTTCGAGAATTAGGTTTTGTATGGGATGCAGATAACTACAAGAGAATTAGGTTTTGATATCGAGCTTGTTTTGAAACAAGAGAATTCAGAAAATGTGATTGCGCAGAAGCACATGCATATCTTCGCTCCTAGAACTCGTTTTGACGTTGTTCAAGTAGCATTGCTCTTGAGTCAAGTTTCTCCTCCATGATACTCCACAGAGAAACATAAGATGGTTATACTGAGGTTCAGTGTGAGTGGATACTTATGCTGGCTTCAAAGAGGTTTCGTTTGAAAGATCGAGTGATATAGCAGATACAAAAATTATTGGTTTTCTGTTAATGGTTAATGAGAATTTCCCCCAAGTTTACCTTGCTCATTCTTCGTTATTTGATAGTAGCTGCTAATTTCTTTGTGCATTCTTTGTACATATGTTAATGAGTGGAGATACATTAAGTTGAAAACTTGATTTTTATGTGGTTTCCACAAACTTGAATCTGTTAATTTTTTTGAAACTTTTGATCAGAATAAGTGAAGGTTATTCCATTTGGCTTTTCCTCCCTACTCTCATAAGTATTCTTAACGACTTATTACAAGTTTTTGACCAAAAAGAGGTTATAAGTTTTGTGAATTTACAATGATTTTATGGAAAGATTGAAAATTGTTTCTTGTGATATACACTATATAATGTGCATTGTGGTGTGAAATGTCATTTGTGGTGAAAAATAAACGATGGTGAAAGTTTGGCTAGATCAAATGTGAAGTTGTGCTGATTTTTCCATATATATGTTTGATTTCGCCGGAACTCAGCCACTGTTTTAGTTTAGTCACTGTAGAATTTACAGGTGTATGTTTACCAGCAAAAAGAGCCAGTAAAGTCACATGATCCATCAAACAGCTGCAAGCCTGCAATATATGACATTACAATACCATTTGTCATGTGGTGTATTATCCGATCCTGCATGATAATGTCCATTTTATGATTCTTAATTCATTTATAAGTACTAACTAATTTTTGATATTAATATTCTAACTAATAAACTCAAATATCATCTATCGTTAACGAATAATATAATTTGTGTTTACCCTTATATTATAACATGGTTAAGCTTTCAACATAAATCAAATATGTGATTATAGTCCATCTGCTTATCCTTAATATTCTAACTAATAAACTCAAATATCATCTATCGCTATCTAATAATATGAACTAGGATACGACCCGCGCCTTCCGCGGAATAAAGTTATTATTTTTATTATGTTTTGGAAAATGAAATAAAAGTTCGATTTCATCTAGATTAATGATGTTCAAGCTGGATATCGGGTTTCAGTATTTTGGTTATTAAAATATAACTACTTTTCTAAATCCATATTTACTTCAGTTTGATTTGGTTTATATATTGGTTTTCAGTTTATTCAATTTTATACCAAAATACATCATTATTTAGTTTGAAATCATATTATATATTATAAAAATAAATAATATGATCATATTTAGAGTCATATTTTCAAAAAGTCATTTACTAAAATTTTTTTATATATTTAACAAAAAAGAATAAAATAAAATAAAAGGCTTCTATGATCTAATAAAATGATCAAATCTAGAATTAATATCAAATCTCTAAATTTTGAAAATAAAAATAAAAACAAAACAGAAGCATGAAAGAAAAGATTTTATATTCTTCCATATTTACTGTTCATCAAATTAATATGTCTTCGATTGAACACAACTCTGTTTGTTTACAGATTAAAAAAAATTGTAAAGAATTTCAACTAATTGTTGTCCATCAAATTTATAATTTTTACTTCAACTTAGTTTTTATTAAAAAAAAGATAAAAAAAAAGATAAAAAAAGACGAAGAAAATAAGAAGCCTCAATTGCATTAAATTGTTAGTTAATTATATTTCAAGTGATTCAAGTGATTTACAAATCATAATTATAGTTCAACTCATGTAACAAATAGATATACATATTTACATGTTTCAGTTTAATCGATTATAAATCAAACCATATCCAAATCTTACGGTTTTTATAAAATCACATACATTCGGTTTGTATGGTATATACCAAAAATAACCATATTATCGATTCTGTAAAAATAGAAAATTAAAAAGAACTAATATATTTAAATCACTGATAACAAAAATTTTCAATGTGAAAAATTTAATACGTTTATAATTTATAAATGTTCTTGAAAATTCATTAAAATTTTTGAAATTAAAATAAGTATGTAATCTTATATGGTATATAGTTTAATATATATATATATATATTTTTATTATTGAATGATAATTTTTACTCATATGGTTTTAAAATCATGTGTATCTTTTTATAATAAAAATGTTAAACTATTGATCATTAAATTTTAACATAATAATTTTAATAGTTTTAGTCATTTATTCTTGGTTTTTTAAATTCAAAATATAACATATACGAAAAATCTAAAGTTTAATTTTATAGCTAATTTTATTGTTTGATTTATTTTAATAATATAAAATTAAAGAAAAATGATGGAGGAGATACAAATTGTTATCAAATATTTATTATTAGAAACATTAATTGTCATATATATATATATATATTTGTCATTTATGGTAATTCCGTAGATTTTATTTAGGGAAAGAAAATAAAATAGTAATTATATCTAGCAGGACAATCATAAATGCTTCTATCATAAATATCATATCATATAGTTTGACGAACAAATATATCTAGGGACATATAAAAATCGAATGTGGACCTACCTATTTTTCAATTGAATGTAATTGACTACCTAATTGATTGACACGTAAGCATGTGCTCTTTTTTAATTATTACAAAATTGAGGTTACAATTTTTCAAATGTTTCTCAATTAATATATAGGGGATTTATGTTTGTCCTTATATTATAACATGATGGTTAAGCTTTCAACATAAATCAAATATGTGATTATAGTCCATTTGTTTTATCTTTGTATTATAATAACATGATTAAACTTTCATCATAGTATTATATGATAATTTATTATTTGTTTATTCTTCTTATATTAAAGTAATATGATTAAAATTCCATAAGAGTAACCAAAATATATGACTGTTTAACATTTTTATCTTTATATATATTAACATATAGGTTAGTTTATACCTATATATTTTACGTAATACAGATTTGATGTAAGCTTTCAATTTAAGCTTTCATGTAATATAGATTTTGTATATTAAAAATCAGTTGAAATCAATGTTTAGAAAATCAGATTTAAGCTTTTATGACACTAAATTTAAGTAACTAATCAATTTTATTTTATGTATTAATGTAAAAAAATTATATATACCGACTAATCCGTATATATACAACTGTACTTTAATCTAAAGGCAAGAAACAAATTCTTGAAAACCTTCACCAAATGCATAATAATATAATTCTTATAGATAAACTATTAAAATTATATATATATATATATATATATTTGATAAAATAAATATTAATAGTTACTTAATCTTAATATTTACTTATAGTATAAACATGTTATTATTGATATTTTTATGAGTATATATTTTTCGGAACTTTTATTTTTATATATTTATAGTACCATTATTCATCGTTCAATAGAAAGATATTTTCATAAATAGCTAAATCATTAAAAAATAAATGACTAAAATGACCCTAACTAGTTTAGGTTTATTACGACCATCATCTTCTTTCTCTAAAACATCCGTCGACGAGATCTAGCGTTTCTCTTTCACGTAACTGGCCACAAAGAGCAATCACGTCTGTCTATGGAGACCAAGATTCAAAACCTCAAAAATGTCGAGTCTTCTACAAGATTCACAACTCATATGTTTCTAATTTATGTAGTATTTTGTTCATTTCAAGCAATTGTTTTTTATTTTGTTCTTTCAGCTATGAAAATACAAAGAAGGTTGGTTTAGACTTGGCATTTACATAGTTTGATTTAAGAGAAATAATATCTACAATGAACATTGAGTTTTTGAAAAAGTATAACCCTTTATAAATATTTGTTTCAAGTAATTTTTTATTTTGTTCTTTTGGTTATCCAAAATCAAAGAAGGTTGATTTAGACTTGTCATTTTAGTAGTTCAATATGAGAGAAAGATTTTTGATGGTAACATTCAATTTCAAAATTATAATCCTTTATAAATCTGGGTTTCAAGTAATTTTGAAGATTTTACTTCTTTTGTAATCCAAAAATCAAAAAAATGTTGATTGAATTGTCATTTGAATACACTACAAGAAAACGATTTTTTAACTAGGAATATTAACGAGGAAAATGTTTCCTCGTAATATTACAGTGACATTACAAGGACTTTACGAGAAAACAAAGATCCCATGTAATTTCCTCAAAAAATCTCGAGAAAAGGGTTTCCTCGTAAAGTCTTAGTAATATTACGAGGAAACTACGTGGCTTTTCTAGTTTCCTAAGTCGATGTAAGTTTAGCTAGGAGTTTACGAGGAAATATTAAACTGCGATTTAGCGAGGAAATGGCGAGGCTTTGTTTATTTAAAATTTAAACACGTGTATTATACCTACTTTTCCTCATAAATTCCTAGTAAATGTTTACTTACCAAATCAAAAATTTCTATAAATACGACCATTTGTGATTCAAACACACCAAAAAAAATCAGCTTAAATCTTGAAAGAAAAATTTTTTTTGGTCTTGGGAATATTTTTGAGTTACGGAGGTGGATATATACACATAGAGATGATAACGGGAGAGTGGCGAAAGAATTTCTCGAAGGGTTGGAGACATGTATGCATCAAGCATATTCTACACCACTCACGCAGGAAAGCGGTAAGATATTTGTGTCCTTGTCGAAAATGCAACAATACAAAATTAGGCTCTCGTGAAAACGTTTGGAAGCATTTAATAAATAGAGGTTTCATGCCACATTACTATATTTGGTATCAACATGGAGAAGATTATAGTTGTAGGAATGAAGCTAGTAGTAGTAATAGCAATTTTCATGATGAACCGGCCGTTGATCATTTGCATAATGAAAATAGTTACCACCAGGAGGAACATATGATAGATTGTGATAGGGTTCATGATATGTTAGGTGATGCATTTGTAACTCATGATGATGAAGTTGAAGAATCTAACTTAGATGCAAATTTTTTTTATGGAATGTTAGAAGTTGCGAATGAGCCAACTTATAGTGGTTGTAGAGAAGGTCTCTCTAAATTGTTGTTGGCTGCTAGAATGATGAGTATTAAAACCAATTACAATCTACCTGAAAATTGCATGGATGCATGGGCAGACTTGTTTAAACTTGTTTAAAGAGTATTTACCAGAAGACAATGTGTCTGCTGAATCTTATTATGAGATTCAGAAATCGGTTTATAGTCTTTGGTTGCCCTCGGAGATGATAGACGTTTGCATAGACAACTATATGATTTATTGGGAAGATGATGAGCCGTTAGAAGAATGACGATTCTGTAAGAAGCCACAATTTAAACCGCAAGGACGAGGACGGAATAGGGTATCGTACCAAAGGATGTGGTACCTACCAATCACAGACATATTGAAAAGATTGTAACAATCTGTGGAGACTGCTGGAGGGATGAAATGGCACAACGAGTGTACTCAGACGGATGGGGAGATGACTCATCCATCAGATGCAAGAGCTTGGAAACATTTTAACAAAGTACATCCACATTTCACTAGCAATAGCCGAAATGTGTATCTTGGATTATGCACTGATGGATTAAGTCCATTTGGAATGTCTGGGAGACAATATTCATTGTGGCCAATTTTTCTTACGCCATATAACCTGCCACCAGAGATGTGCATGCGACGAGAGTTTCTATTCTTGACCATATTAATACCTGGTCCAAAGCATCCAAAAAGATCTCTTGATGTTTTTCTACAATCACTGATTAAAGAGTTGAAAGGTTTGTAAACAGGGGTGAGGCCATATGATTGTTCAACGAAAACAAATTCTACGATGTGAGCGATGCTTTGTGGACCATAAGTGACTTTCCTGCATATGGGATGTTGTCTGGATGGACTACACATGGGAGATTAGCTTGTCCATATTGTAATGGAATGACAGATGCATTTCAGTTGAAGAATTGTAGGAAGACAAGTTGGTTCGATTGTCACCGTCGATTTCTTCTCCTTTACCACCAATACCGAAGAAACAAGACATTGTTCAGTCACAAAAGGGTGGTCAGTGACACTCCTCCTCCATATTTAACTGGAGAACAAATTGAAGCGCAAATCGATTACTACTGTGCACTAGAAACAGCTCCTCGTGGTGGTAATTGGTATGTTCCCAGTAATATGTCTGATTCTTATGGTATTCATCAGAATTGGCACAAGAAGAGTATATTTTGGGAGTTGAAATATTGGAAATATCTTCTTTTGTGTCACAACCTTGTGTGATGCATATAAAAAATATTTTTTTTTTTAGAACATCGTGAACACTATATTGAATGTCCCAAGGAAGGCGAAAGACAACATAAAATCGAGGGTTGACTTACCCGATATCTGCTAAAGAAGTGAGTTACATATAAAAAGCAATGGGCACGTTCCAGTTATGATATTCAGACTGTCATCATAAAAAAAGTCAGTGTTGTTCAACTGGATGGCTTCAGAAGTTAAGTTTCCTGATGGATATGTTTCAAATCTCTCAAGATGTGTTGAGAAAGGTCAAAAGTTCTTCGGGATTAAGAGCCATGATTTTCATGTCTTTATGCGACAACCACTTCCCTTTGCATTTGGGGAGCTACTACCAGCAAAAGTACATGAAGCACTCATGGGTTTGATCCCCTCTGACACCAATTAATCTCAAAATTTTTATTTATTAGCTGTTTGACACACGTTAAAATGAATTGTGCATTTGCCGCTGTTAATGGAAGCCACGAGATAACATATCTCCACTCGAGCAACCAAAAAAAAAATACAGTTGACAATCAAAATATTAATAGACCAAACACAATTGAGTTAAAACTCCACATTCACTTATCAAAAAATTTAGAGAACTCATTAGTTATTAACCAAAGAACAGCACAATCATGACACTGAAACTTCATACTGAATCATTCATCAAGATACCCAAAAATCCTTAGACCACAGCCAAGAAACCCTAACCAAAGACACTAAGTAGCAACCAACTATCAGCGCCTCAAGATCAACCAACTACATAAATTCACAGAAATCTTGTTCACAATCCAAAAGCTAAATTTAATATTACTTGGTAAGTTAAATATTTTTAAAAAAATATTTATACTCGGGTCTCATGGATGTGGTTTAATGCCCGCCCCCAAGGTCCGACTTGAGGACACCTTTTATAACTTATAAGTAAAAGAAACATTACACGCGCGTGATACATATGTCTACCTCCATCAGATATTTTTTGTAGTAGAAACCCAGTAGAAAAGCTACACCACCATTTTTAATTGAGACAGTCAGAGATACGTTCTTCTAAGAGCACATACAACAGTGTATTTTCATGGTCCTTAGCGCATAATCTTAGATTAATTGGAATAAAAAAATATTAATAAAGCTCGGTTTGGGAAGAAGCAGTCCCTCATTAAGGGATTAGAAGGATTGAATCCTTAGTGACGTGGAGTCGTCTGGATATGTATTTCGTTTTACAAATTACCTTGCATGTTGTTTTCCTCGCAATTTAGGGTTCAATTTTGGGTTTTCAATCGATTTGGGGATCTTTTCGATTTGGGGGGGTTTTCAATCGATTTGGGAATCTTTTCAATTTGGGGGGTTTTCAATCGATTTGGGGATCTTTTTGATAAGGGTTTCACTCCTTGCTTGTAGAGAAAGGAATTAGCTTTAATGTGTATGTCATTTACAGATTGCCTCTGAGGGTTTGAAGTACAGAGTTTTTGAGGTTTCTCTTGCTGAGCTTCAAGGAGATGAGGACCAATCTTACAGGAAGATCCATCTCAGAGCTGAAGATGTCCAGGGAAGGAGTGTCTTGACCCAGTTCTGGGTATGTTCATGACCCTTTTTTTCTCTAGAAACTCTTTTACAAAGCTTAAACAATGTATTGTATTTTGTATTAGGGTATGGACTTCACCACGGACAAGCTAAGGTCATTGGTGAAGAAGTGGCAGACATTGATTGAAGCCCATGTCGATGTGAAAACCACTGACAGTTACAACTTGTGGTTGTTTTGCATTGCTTTCACCAAGAGGCGTGCTAACCAGGTCAAGTGTACTTGTTATGCTCAATCCAGTCAGATCCGCCGGGTAATGTATTACACAACATAACAAATGTATGGAAGTCTCTGGGATATTTACTTATTGTTTTTGTTAAATAATTGTAGAACCACAGAAAGATGAGTGAGATTATGGTGAAGGAGGCTTCATCTTGTGACCTTAAGGAGCTTGTGGCCAAGTTCATCCATGAGTCCATTGGTAGTAATATTGAGAAGGTCACACAAGGCATCTACCCATTACAAAATGTTTTCATCCGTAAAGTCAAGATCCTTAAGGCTCCCAAATTTGACCTTGGAAAGCTAATGGAGGTAAGAACTGATATCACATTTATTTATGTCTTAGTCTTGATTATGAAGACGTTGAATCTAACTTTTTTGTTCTCGCTTTTCTTGTTGGGTGCATGGAGACTACACAGAGAGGATGTTGGTGTGAAGGTAGACAGACCATAAGATGAGACCATAGTTGAAGAGCCAACCGAAATCATCGGAGCTTAGAGAATTATAGATGTCTTTCTTTTTTTTGGGGAAAAACTAATGTTTATGTCGCCATTTGTGTAGAGTTTTTTGTTAGGAGAACTCTGCTTCAGTGTTGACTAGTTTTGAACTCAGGTTTTTCTTTGTATGGATACTCAATTTATTACTCTTTTGCTTCAAACAACAGGTTTCCCTTCATTTTCTAATCCTAAATCAATAGTTTTCTCTAATCTATTTATGAAATTGTCAACTTCAATTCATGGAAATATATGTCCTATAGTACCGACACGCCTACAAATCTCGATTATGATTGGCATTCGGAATTATGTTCGCAATAGATGTATACATGGACAATTAAAAAATGATTTGATTGAAAATATCTGGAACAAATTTGGTGATGAATATTAATAATTATTGTATTTTTATATTTAATCATGCAATAAATAAAATTTTATTTTCATTAATTTTAAAATTTATTATTTTTTTAATTTCTAAGAACTCCAAATTGAAAAATATCATTGGACCTAAAATTTTGATTAGAATCCTTAACTACTTAAACAAAAAAATTAAAAAAAATAATAATTTAATAATGGTAAAGACTCCAATGGTGATAATACTATTGTAGATGCTTTAATTGCTTCTGCTCCTGAAAAGGTTAAAAATCTAGTTCGTCTAATCTCTAATTCGTATTTTTTTTATCTTAAATCACATAACACGGTAACAGTTGTTGGGTAATTCCAAGCTTGTGGAAACTTAACATATTATTGGATGTTTAATATGTTAAGGATAAACACAATAAGGAAATCTAGAAATAGGAAAAGGAAGTTTTCTATTAGATTAGGTTTGTGTTTTCCATATCCCACATGTTCAAGGGAATTATCTTAACTATAAATATAGGTCTTATGGAGAGGTGTTCCATATGA